TGAGAAGAAATTGGCGAAGAAATTTTGCTGCTCGCCGCTGGTCTCTGCCGGCCGCCTGGTCTGTACCCGCCTCTGCGTGGCTGAAGAAGAATCGTGGGGAAGGGGAAGAAGTGGGTGAGAAAATTAGGTAAATTTAATTATTTTATTATTTTAATTAATTTAAATGTTTATAAATATAAGTATAAAATTAATTATTTTATTGAAATTAATTCTGAATTATTTTTGATTAATTTGTTTATTTAAGTGATAGGTTTAATTATTTTAGATTTAATTATTTAGAATAATTTGTTTAATTAATTGATAAATTCAGTTCAATTATTTTGGATTGTATTTAATTTTTATTTATAAATTGAGTTCATTAAAATTAATATTTTAGAATAACTTATAACTTTATTATTTAAAATTAAAATTATTTTAGACAAAATTTGTATTAATTGTAAATTAATTGTAAAAAAATAATATTTTAACTAGATTTTTTATATAAACAAATTAGTTATCTAGTTATATTTTTGTATAAGTTTGATTTATTAATAAACTAATATATATAATTTGTCTATTTAATTAATAAATTACTATTTATAAATATTTTAACAATTGTATTATTCAATTACAGAGTTTGTGTAAAATGGCACCGCACAGAGATATTGGTTGGGATCATGCTACCCCTGTCAGCAACGATAGAAAACAAGCAAAATGCAATTATTGTGGTAAAATTGTTCATGGAGGAATTACTAGGATGAAACAACATATAGCACATGTTACAGGTCAAGTTGAACCATGTACGAGAGTCCCAAAAGAAATAAGAGAGCTATTAAAAAAATATTTGATCCAAGGAAAAAGTATGCGAGCAGCACATAAAAAAAAGTTAGAAGCATTGCACAATTTCATTCGTTTGGAAGATGATTCTGATGAGGAAGAAGATGAAGTTTTTGAAATAAATGAAGATGAGATAGATGCTCTTGAAAGAAAACACTTAAAAAGAGCAATGGCTGAAAGCATAAATATTGAATTTATGTCCGGAGATCTACCAAACTTGAATTTTAAAGATGGTATATTTATTGAATTTATAAAATATATTTAAATATTAGTATTTTTTTTTTTAGATAAACCATATATGATCATATGTTTTTTTTTATCTTTGTAGGAGGAAGCAGCTCGAATACAAAAGGAAGTAAAAGAAATTTTTTCGAAAGCTCTATGAAAAAGACAGAAGGTTTGCATCAAAAAAAACTTGATCCATACATGTTTCAATCGAAGAATAAGTCTTTGAAAAATATGTTTTCAAAAGATAATGCAAAAAAAGTGGGTAGAGCAATTTCGAAATTTTTTCATTTTAATGCAATACCATTTCACGCTGCCGATAGTGGTCCTTACTACCAAACGATGATTGACACGATTGCATCGGTTGGACCTGGAGTTAAATGACCTACTAGTAAACAAATTGGTGGTGAATATTTAAACGAGGAGATGCAAGAAGTTGTACAGTATGTTGATTCTTTAAAGCAGAAATGGAAAACATACGGATATACAATTACGTGTGATAGTTGGAGTACTCGTACAAAACATCCAATCATAAATTTTATGGTGTACTGTGATAGAGATATGATATATCACAGTTCGGTTGATTGTACAAATAAGGTGAAGACTGCGGACTTTGTCTACACCCTAATGGATAAGGTGGTGGAATCAGTAGGGGTTGACAATATTGTACAAATTGTAACTGATAGTGAAGCTAGTATGAAGGCGGCTGGGAAAAAACTGATGAGGAAAAGGAAGCACATTTTTTGGTCTCCATGCGCTGCACATTGCATTGATTTGATGTTAGAAGACATCGGAGATATATTGCATTTTTTGTTTTTATACTGTGCTAATCGTTTGTTTTATTTTTTAATTTTATATACATTTCATGCAGCTTATTTTTTAAATCCTGGTCTTCAATACTCCGGCACTTGTGAATTTGATTCATCGGAGGTTCGAAAAGGAGTAAAAGAAGTTATCAAAAGACTCGAGCCAGATTTGGATATACAAGTAAAGGCTATGAATGAGGTAAATTGTGTGAAATTTATAAATAATATATATATTAATTTCTAATAATTTTACCATTATATTGTCTATAGATAAACACATTTGTTAACAAAATTGGAGAGTTTGGAAGTGCACTTGCTATTAGAGCTGTATCTACATCTTTACTAGGTATGTATTATGAAATTTATCATTTAATTATATTTTTAAACATACTTGTTATAAAATGTTGCATTATTAATAATTTTTTATTTATTTTTAATAGCTGACTGGTGGAATATGTATGGTGATGAAGCCCCTAATTTAAGAAAAATTGCATTAAAAGTTTTGAATCAAACTTGCACATCATCGGGTTGTGAGCGGAATTGGAGTACGTGCACTACAAGAAATTATCAATTTTGTAAGGAGATTTTTTCGTCCCTAAATTCACTTTTTCCGTTACTAATGATATTAGAGACGGAATTAGAGATGGAATTACGTTAGCTACGTGAACTTTAGGAATGGAATTCCGTTACAAATATACTATTTTTTTGTAGTGGTGGGCTTTGATCCATACTAAACTTCGGAATAGATTAGCTATTGAGAAATTGCATAAGCTAGTCTATGTCCACTACACATGCGTCTTCGGGTAAAAAATTTTATGCAAAGGACAGACACAGACGATTTTTATGATCCAATTGATTTGAATCATATTTTTGATGAAAATGATATTTTAGATGATTGGGTCAGAGAAAATGAATCTCCACTTATTCGTGATAGTGATTTGAATTGGTTGGATGAGGCTATTGAAGAAAGTGGAGATGGAGGTCAAAGTGAGCATAATGATCATGACAGTGATATGCTTTTATCTCAATTTATAGCTGATGGAAAAAAGAAGGCAAAAGAGAAAAAATCAGAAAACAAAAATACGGCCAAGAAAAAAAAAACAATCATATTGGAATCTTCATCTTCATCAACTAATGGTGAAGATAAGAATAATAACAATGATGATGATGATGATGATGATGATGATGGTGGTGGTCGTGGTCGTGGTCGTGGGAGCTACAGGGATAGCCGATACTCAAGTGATACGGGATGGGCTCAAGGAAATGAAAATTATTATGCTACCAAGACACTGATCATAGATATCGTCCTGGTATAGAAGCTCAAATAGATTTTCTAAATAGTTTAACAGAATTTTCAAGTGAAGCCGATGCTTCAAATTTTTCAGATACTAGGAGATATTCTGGAGTTCACGAACATATGCAAGACTTGAATATAGGTTATTCCAATGAAGATTCTTCTCACAGCTCGAGTAATAGATTGGGGAGACAGGAGTGGGACCACCCAAATGCATATCATAATCCCTATTACTTAGGATACGGTTTATCTAATCTACCCACACATCTTCAGGATTGAGCCAATCTTCCTATATTTGGATCCAACCAACCAGTTGGAACATATTACGGAGGGATTACATCTGGTTCGGGTAGTATTGATGATCGTAGACAAAATTATGGTTCATCAAGCAGAAGCAATGATAATAGAGAATATCGAGGTTTTGATGTTTATGGAAGGGGTTCATTTAGAGAAAATCAATATGGTTCGAACATCTCCCCTTATCCACGCAATATGAATCAAGAACAAGGATATTCATACTATAATCGATCGGCAGATGAAAATGATTTTGAGCCTCCACGACATTCCACATGGTATTGAATGGTAAGTATAAATATTTAGTATAAACATAGTTTGAACATTTTATAAAATTTTATTGGTATTTTTTTTCTAATTATTTTTATTTATATGTGATGCAGATGAAATATTGACATTGACGGACACAAGATACATCATTTTGTTATTAAAATAAATTTATTAGTATAATGACAATATGTAAAATATAAAATTTAGCATTTATATATATATATATGCGGTAATTGAGTTGAAATATTATTTATTTTAAATTTTAATCTATTATAAATTATAATATATTTTTTCAATAATATATATATTTAAATTAATTATATTCATAATTTGATGTATTTTAATTATTTATTTATTATTTTTTAAAAAAATATAAATTTTATATAAAAAAATCATATAGGCCGATATTTGACCGATACGCCGCGATCGATACGCCGTGACGTATCTGAAACGGTAAAGGCCGATCCGCGACCCCGGTCCGCGACGGCGAACCATGGCCGTGGTGGAGGCGACAATGGAGAATTAATGTGGCGGATCAGACGGTGGCAGCAGCTGGAGAACTAGTTTGGACATTAATTGAATTTTAGAATCTTGTAGGGGTATAATGATCAACGGCAGATTGGGTGTTGTTCTTTTAGCGTTGCGGATGAGACGTTGATGGCAAGGTTTAATGATACGAAGGGATCAGCGGAGGAACTAGGATGTGACGAGAGAAGAGACTAATTTTTAAAATTTTTAAAATAACACAATCTATTTATATTTAAAATATCACATAACACTTAAAAAATCTAAATTCAAAACTCAAAACCCAAACAATCATCTCCTATGTAAAATTTTAATATATTTTTAATTTATTCTAATTATTTTCTTAAACTACAAATATAAATATTATATATATATATATATGTTAAAGAAAGAAAAATAAAAGATGGAATAGGAAAAAGAAGGGGCTAAATAGTATATATATACATATGTTAAATTTAAAATTAAAAATAACTAAAAAAATAAAGTGGAGGGGCAGCCTCTCTTGCCCCTGCATGCGTCCGCCCTGGATGGGATTGGTAATGGATGATGTGGTTGAGTGTGTTTTTCCTTGAGAGGTTTATATATTCGCTAAGTTTTTTTATGCTTGTGTTATAATTAAGGTTTGGGATTTTTATTTATTTATTTATTTATTTATTTTTTGTCATTTAAGATTTTACATAAAGTAACGTATTTCTAATTATATAAATTGAGTTGAATTGTTATATTAATCACTTATACAAAAATTTTACTTTTTTTTAGAGCAACTGCAATGGTGCAGGTCAAAAAAGGCTTACAAAGCTGAGTGTCCATGACTTGTACAAGCACCAATCAATTCTCATATTTTAAGAGCAACCAAAATAGTCAAATTTTCGATGGCCTCACAGTCTGACACGAAGCAGTTTTCATCCTCTTCGAAATTTTTGTTGACACAGTGACTCGAATTCTTAGGCCAAAATATTGATACCCAGCGACCGCAGCCTGGTGCAGACGAAGCCTTGGAGAAGCATTGGAAGTGTATTTTTTTCTCTTTCTCTCTCCTCTCTCAAGCTCTTCTCTCTCAACCTTTTCTCCCTTAAATATTCCAAGAGCCACCAGCATTGTCGAATCGCGATTTCCTTGGGCAACCCTTAAAAAGTGCGTATATTTACAATCATCATGAAATCGTATGTCGTTCAAGTCGTCAAACACATCTATGTTAATTTTGGGCGATTTCGATTTGGATGGTTTGGGCGATATTGATTTAGGTTATTTCAATTGAAATTTGGGCTATTTTGATTTTGATTTCCTTCGACTTCAGACATTGCTTTCGCCCTTCTCCTTGCTAGCACATTTGGTATTGTGAGTTTTAATATGAAAGTTGTTAGTATTATCCATTTCTTAATTTTATACAAATTTTTATTATGTTTTTAAATTAAAAAAAAATAAAAAAAAAAACTCATTGCACATAAATATCTTAATAATCTCTCCATTTTATATGTACATGGGAGAACTGATTCTGGTCCACCATTAATTAATTGTCTATCATACATGTTATGGTGTTTTGGATTAAGACGTGATTCATCCAATGGAGATATTATGTTAATTATGAGAGGTTTGCAACAGATTTTCTCAAAATTTGGTTGTTTCTATACATCTCTTTGTGTCGATACATAAAAGAACAATCAACAAATGTGTGGGATAATTTAATATATATTTTCCTAAATTATTGATGTTTTCGAGATAAATTGAAGTAATTGGCCATCAGAATTGGAGCCAAATTTTGACTGTTTCAAATATCTGCATTGTGCAATCAGTTCAAGTGCTTAGTTGTATTATTATGGTTCCAACCATTTGTTCTAGCATAGATGGATGTGTGGCGTTTTATTTTATGGTATTATTCTTGGTTTGCTTCTACAATGATTGGATTATTGGTTCATCTTAAGTATAGACTAGAACCTTGTTGATGGAATATGAAATGTTTTTGTATGTAAATGCCAATATATATATATATGGAATTGAAATGGTAATGGATTTCAACCTTCATTTCTTGAAAAGAACTGTATGATGCCTTTTAAACATCAATATTTTCTCTGTCTGATGTTTGCCTATACTAGTGGAATGTGTTCCTAATCTTTGTCAAGTAAACTCATCCATTGAGAAATTTCATGCTCCCCTCTAGATTTAATCTTGGTTATTTCTTGATCTCTTTTATAGTAGTATTACTACAATGTAACTAAATAGTTGGAGATGCACTTTACATTATGTCATGCTCATCGGCATTACATATTTAACTTATATGTTCTTTCATTAGCATTTACTTTTTAGTATATTGAAAATTGCAATGGGCTAAAAACTTTGAGGTGAGCTCCTATAAAGAAGGACATTCTCAGTACATAGATTCATGAAAACTATAAGGGACAACTTTAAGCTGAGCTTTGTCCATAATTCAAATTTCAAATTTTACTGATCTTTCTAGCTATGATTCTGTGATTAAAATTACAGGGATGTGGATAGAAGAGTGGTAAAGGTGTATAAAATGGATGTCGTGTTAATCATTTTGCAGGGACAACAAAGCTAATGGATTACAAAATGGAAATAAACCACGCGATTCTTTTCGAACACAAAATAAGGACATAGCAAAACCAAAATATGCTTGGATGCGAAGGGAAATCAGTACAAAAGATCTAAGTTCTCTCAGGTTTGTCTTAGTTTTAAATGCATTACTTTTATTCTTTTTAATTTGACTTTTGTCGAATAGTCGATGATCCTTAGATATCAAAATCAAGCGGTTCTCACATTTTGAAGTTGCAATGTGTAGGTTATCAAAAGTTTTGCTAGTGAAGCAGATGATGAGGTATCATGTAGGTTATCTATATCGGATACCAGGCTTTGAAGTTATAGATGATTGTTGGACAGAAGGGGCCGACGATACCTTTTAGCCGTTTGGAATTTGGCAATCGGAGAAGGCTTTCTGATGTTGTCAAGCTATGCATATTATGTTTAATAGTTAACGTTTTCAAGCTATGCATATTGTGTTTAATTGTTAAACTATATATATTGTATTGAAGATCCATTAACTAACAAACACAATAGCTAAGTGATTGATAAGGGAATTTAAATGACTCTAATTTTTTGTGAGCAAATTGTAGAAATTATTTTCTGGTTTGTATAGAAAGACAAAAGTTATTTGTTTATTTCTCTCTCTATCAAATGGGTCCTCCTTATTTCCTCCTTTTTTGAGCCATTGTGGGTATTTGGAAGATTTTTAGCTCTTCAATTTTCTTTTCATATTCCTTCGTATATTTTATAATATACATAATTAAAAATTTTATTATGTATTTGCTAAGTCATCGAGATTAAATGTATGAAGCATTTGATCCAAATACATATGAATTTACGTCCAGAATTTGAAGTAAGGTTTTACATCAAATATCATAACAATATTATTGAGACAACATACGGACTCATTTTATGCATCGTTTACGTTTTAAATGTGTAAAGTTATTAATTTTAGATATTTTTAAATTTTGAGTGAATTCATATTTTAAAATATAAATATATAATACTACATCCATCCCATAAAAATGGTAACATTTCTCTTTTACGTCATTGTACTTAACGTTGAAAATATCATTATATTTGTATAATTTACTCCACAAATGTCATTGTATTTGTATTATAAAAGACTAATAGATGTATGTTTGTCATTTTCTTTTTACTATGTATTGATATAATAATTAATATTTAAAAATCAACTTGCAAAAAGCTCATGTACTCTTCTTGTGAGACAGAGATAGCAACATAATTAACTTTTTTTAGTTAAGTGTCATTAATTATTTTTTAAATAGACAAAATACCCTCAATTAAAATCAACCACTAATTAACAATAAAATTGATCGACTAACAATAAAATTAGGATGCTCCTAACTTTAATATAATATTAGAACCATACAAGAACTCAATTGAAAATTTAGTTAGTCTGAATTTGATTACAAGTTGAGAAGTGTAATTGTAAGTTTGGTTGTACCGTATTTAATTGCAAGTTGGAAAGTTAATTGAAATTTTTATTTTAGTGTTGAATAATTAAATATTTTTAGGTTGTAAATTGAGTGATTATATAATTTATATTTCATCAAAATATTATATATATATATATATATAATATTATACTAGGTTTACGTTTGTACCATAACAGTTTGTACCATAACAATTGACACGTTTGATTAGCAACAAGGTATTTCAAAATAATATAGTTTAATAAGTTAATAATATTATATTATAATATTATTTTATTATTTTCTATGTAAGTGGTGGTGTTGATATTTAAAAAATATATGATTATTTTTTTAAAGACATGTATTTTAAATATTTTAATCGCTATTATCTTAATCAAATTCATTTAATATGATAGCATTTTGTAGAGAATAAAATTTTATATAATGTAAAAAATATTTTTATTTATTTACAACTAACATAAATTAATTTATAAAGAAATTAAGAAGTTTTAAATATAGATAAAAATATTTGTTTATTGAAGATAGATAAAAATAAAAGTGTTTTGAGTGAATCCTATTAAATTTTAGTTAAATTGATTTATAATTGTTAAATATGTTTAATATTGATAAATTTACTAATAGAAACGTGTCAACTGTAATGTAACATATTAAAATGCAAAATGTAACTGTTATGAGACGAAAAGAGTATAAAAAATAAATACAAATATACATATATAATTTACATAAATTAGTTTATAAAAGATAATAAATTTAAATATATATATATATTTATAAGAAATGAAAATAGAAGATTGTAATAAAATCTCATTTCAAAAAATTGAAAAACTAGTTTATATAAAAAATAATAATAACAATATGAAAGCGTAATATCGATTCTTGTTCCATGTGTCACGACCCGAATCCGTGACTGGAGATGACCGAGCGAATGAGCCAAAGCCCGGAGGCTAGTCCGGAACCTTGTAAATAAAACTAGAACTTGTATGGAGTAGTTAGGGGTTGATAGATGGTTGGTGGAAGATGGTAGGTGGAGGTTGGTAGAAGATGGTAGGTGGAGGTTGGTAGAAGGTTGGTGAAAGATAGTAGATGGTAGTTGGGAGATATGGACTTGTGTAAATAGGTGATTGTACTCATTTGTAAATCATCAAGTTGAGAGCAATAACACCTACTTTCCCTCACTACTTCCTCTCTCTACGATTCTTGAGTGTCCTTGATCGTATTCTTGAAGGTGTCCGAAGAAAGGCTGTACTAACAACCTCTAAGTGTCCGGAAGTTGCTAGGCCGCACGGAAGGTGTTCGAAGAACAACCAGGCGGTCCGTGACAAGTGGTATCAGAGCTTCATTCGAACCTAAGTCAGTGAGGGATGGCAAGTGACGGGTCCAACTTGACGAATCTGAACGAGGGTAACAACGAGGGTGTCAATGAAGGGAAGCACCATCGAAAGTGCAAACGTTGCCCTTCTTTGGATACCGTAAGTGCTTTTGAGGCTAAGATGGAGTGTATGGAAGAATTCCTCGGTGGGAATTCCGAAAGGATCGACGAGGTCGAGAAGGAGATGCGTGAGGATTTGATGAAGTCTCTCGCGGAGGGACTGGAATAGTGTCGCGATGGCGCAAAGGAAGTGACGAGGTCACTTGGTACCGAGATGGCCAAGCTCAAGGAGGAGGTGACAGCGTGTCGCCTCGAGTTGGCACAACGAGAGAAGGCGGCTATGGTGGAGCCGTCTGTGATGCAAGAGGAGCTTTCAACACTTAGAGCGGCAATTGCGGAATTGCAAGCTCGTGACCCGATCGGACGAGTAGCGGTAGCACCTAGAGTGGAGGTTCCACGTCCAGAGTGCTACTCAGGAGTTTGGAGAGGTCGGGTAATTGATACATTTATTTTCGATGTGGAACGTTACTTTAATGCTGTAGGGGTCGTGGGAGATGCGGCCAAGGTGCACACAGGGTCATGTTTCTTGAAGGACTCGACACTCGTTTGGTGGAGGCGTAGAAGCGAACTTGCTCAAGATGGCGAAGCCATCACAACATGGGCAATGTTCAAGTCCGAACTCAAGGTGAAGTTTGAACCAATAAGGGCCGAGACGGAGGCGAGGGCCAAGATGCGATGGTTGGCACATCGAGAGGGACATTTGAAGGAATACATTGACGAGTATGCCGACTTGCTACTTGAAATTCCATCGATGACGCGGGAAGAAGCATTATTTGGGTTTACCGAAGGATTAAAGCCGTGGGCAAGAGAGCTGGTTGCGGATAAGTGCCCGGAAACTGTGAACGAGGCAATGAAGTATGCTTCACGGATGATTGAGTTCCAACAGAGAGAACCGTACAAGAGGGACGATGGGAGGAGAATTACCTCGGACAAAAGTGGGGGAGATGCGCCAAGATTCGCCCCACGACCACCTCACCCGAAGGCGAACGCTATGCACCTAGGACTGCGATGAAGGATTTTTCTAAGCTAAGACCTAGGTATGAGGAGTTTTATGTTTGTCATTCAAAAGAACATTTTGTAAGAAATTGTCCGAACTAGTCGAGTGTTTATGCGGTGACTGAGGACACTAACCCAACGGAAGAACGGGTGGCATGCATGAAAGCGGAAGGTGATGGCGAAAAGCATCGAGGACGGATGTACGTGAATGTCGAGATTAATGGACGCTCGTAGTTGTGTCTACTCGACCCAGGGGCGGATGCAAATTACATGAGCAAAGAAATAGCTCATGAGTTGGGTTTGCAATGAGTGTCATGACACCAAGTATGCCGGACATCCGAGCATACAACGAACCTTGGCCTTGCTACGGGAGCGGTACTATTGGCCCGGAATGAAGGGGAATGTAGAAGAGTATGTCCAGACATGTCTTGTGTGACAACAAGACAAAATCGAAAATCGTCCACCGGCGGGTTGCTTCAACCCTTGCCAATTCCAGAAATAATGTGGGAGAGTGTGTCCATGGACTACATTATCGGCTTGCCAAAGTCCAATGGATGCACGAGCATATTTGTAGTGGTTGACCGTCTCTCGAAATATGCCAAGTTCATCCCGGCACCAAAGGAGTGTACAACGGAGGTGACAGCAAAACTCTTTATGGAGCACGTCGTTAAATATTAGGGGTTACCAACGAGTATTGTAAGCAATCGGGACTCGAGATTTACCGGGCGATTTTGGACAGAATTGTTCCGTCTGTTGGGGTCAGAATTGAAAATGTCCACGACCATGCACCGACAAACAGACGGCCAAACAGAGCGAGCCAACCAAGTTTTAGAGGTGTACTTACGACACTATGTGACGGTAAACGAACTTGATTGGGCTAAATTACTCGATGTGGCACAATTTTGTTTTAATTTGCAGAAAAATGAAAGTACTGGGAAGAGCCCGTTCGAGATTGTACTCGGTTTCCAACCAACAACTCCGAAGGATATGATGAGGATGTATAAAGGACCGAGTCCACCGGCGTTCCACTTGCCAGGGGTTGGCAAGATCGGGCGGAGGCAGCGAGGCTATACTTGGAGAAGTCCCAGAGATGGATGAAAAAGTGGGCGGACCGGAAGCGGATATTCCGAGAATTCAAAGAGGGAGACTTAGTGTTGGTAAAACTTTACCAACATGGCGGTATACGAGGCGTGCACAAAGGGTTGATGAGGTGATACGAAGGCCCGTTCCCGATCGTGAAGAAAGTAGGCGAAGTGGCGTACAAGGTGGAGCTACCCGAGGGCTTGTCCCAACTTCACCCGGTATTCCATGTTAGCATTCTCAAGCCTTACTACATGGATAATCAGGACCCGAGTCGGAATATATCAAAAAAGCACCACCCGGGATGCGGACGGCTTATGACAAAGTAGCCGAGGAGATATTGGTGGATCGACTAGTGCACCACAAGAACCGCCCGCCTTCGACGGAGTACTTGGTGAGATGGCGAGGCTTGCCCGAGGCTGAGACGAGTTGGGAGCCGACGGAGAAACTTTGGCAATTTGAAGACTTAGTGCGTGAGTACGAGGCATTGAGGACAATGCCTTCATCAAGTGGGGGAGAATGTCACGACCCGAATCCGTTGATGACCGAGCGAAGGAGCCAAAACCCGGAGGCTAGTCCGGAACCTTGTAAATAAAACTAGAACTTGTATGGAGTAGTTGGGGGTTGGTAGATGGTTGGTGGAAGATAGTAGGTGGGGGTTGGTGGAAGATGGTAGGTGGGAGTTGGTAAAAGGTTGGTGGA